GGGGGGGGGGGGGGGGGGGGATAGAACAACTATTAAAGGTAGTGAAGAAATTTCACAGGCCTAAAGAACTACTAAAAGTAAGGATAGATTTTATACCATGAAGCAGAATCCTATCTCTGATATAACACAAATCAGCCTGAATTTTGGAATAATCAATAGGATTCAAAGTGACTATTTTCAATTGCAATCTCATTCTTAATGGTCTCTTAGAATCCTTAACCCTGGGAGAAGCAGGGCAAAATATGGCCAAAGGTTTCAGGACCTTTCTTCCCAACGTTATCCCACCAGCCATTCGAGGATAATCAATGATTCAGCCATGTCAAAGTCAAAGGTCCAAAGTCAATTTTTTTCATTCCCTCTCTTGCTCTCCATTCTGGTTGATCTAAGACAAGTTTCTGACATTGCAGTTAAAACACTTCAAATTAAACCAGAGTAAGAAAGCCTGTTTACTTCCCTACTGGGTTCAAATATATTCTGTGATGCATTGTTGAGGTGACAGGACCTACCATGGGATCAGTACGAGAAAGTGAATAAACATACAAAACTACAAAATATTTTTTTTGCAAGCCCATAGACTGTGATGAAATACAGGTTCTAAAGAGATGGTAAACTTATGGGCCTCTTGATGTGCAAAGCCAAATAATTCCTAAGAGTTATTTGTAATCCTGATTATGTTTCTTTTATAAATAATCTATAGATTTTCCTCTAAATAAGAAAAAAAAATTAAAGAAATTATGAAGGCCTGTACTTAATGCAAAACACAGTATAAGGAGAGAAGTATCCATTTTGAGCCCTATCTTAGCTGATTTCTGGACAATTTTTCTCAAGTTTTAATCACACTCTTGAAGCCTGTGCTTTTCTCAGTCCCCTACATAGTGGCCTCAAACCTCTTTACTCTCCAGAAAGCAGCTCCATGTGGCCAGGTACTCATGGCAGCTGCTCTGTGCAGTCCAAATGGTCTGGGATGGGAAGACCAGTTATAATCGTCAAACACTTGTTCCACACGGTGAAGGTGGGGCACACAGGCTGCGCAAACGCGACATCGAAGGTGTAGAGGTGGATGGAGTTCAAAGCATCGTAAAAAGCGATGGAGCCGTTGTCATAGTCCAGCAGGATGCCGACGCGCCGGAGGTGGGGGGCTGGCTCGATGGGCATCTCCTTGCTGTTGTGTCTCACCACCCAGTTATTGTTGCAGCGGCACAGTGCCCAGGAAGCAGAGTTCTTCCCAATCCACTCGTGCTTCGGGGCCGATTTGTAAGCAAGGCCAATGGCATACCTGCAGAAGCCAAACAGCAAAAACAAAACCAATGAGCCATGTTGCACATGTATGTGAAACCCGTTCTGTGGTTCCCAGGGGTCATGAAACCACGATCATTGGTTGTCCCTGCCCATTCTCTTTAAGTGAAAGCTTGGCAAGAACCTCAAAACCTGTGTTCCTCATTGTCTTCCCTCCCGAACATATAGTGGGCAGAAAGGAGCCATTGTATTTACCCATGTTCCTGTTTTCAGCTCAAACACTGCAAGAGAATTTGAACTTTGGGTTTTGCTGCTATTTTTTTTCATCCTCATGAAGACCTACACAATGAATTCTCTAGACCAGTGCTGACCAATAGAACTTGTTGCAATGAATGAAATGTTCTGCTCTGCTCCGTATGGTGGCCACAGGCCACATGTGGCTATTGGGCACTTGAACTGTGGCTGGTGAGACTGAGGAACTAAACTTTAAATTTATTTAATTTTAATTAAGTTATTTAAATAGCCACATGTGGCTCATGGCTACTATACTGAACAGTGCAATCCTAGACTTCTCCATTTGACCTTTTTTAAATCTTTCAGTTGACACCATGTCTGTCATTTTCCATGACTTTGAATGTACTCTGCCAAAGGCAAGCATGGAGAATGACTTCCATTTACAAGGATAAGTCCCTTATCATCACTTAACCTCAGTTTTCTCATCTATAACACAGCGACAATGACAGTCTCCATCTCCCAGGGCTATTTTAAGGAGTAAAAAAAGAATATATGTTAAATTCTGGGCACAGGTCCTGGTATGTAATACTCAGTAACTGTTATTGTATTATTATTGCCCAATGACACATTAACAGTAAGTAACAGAATCAAAATTTGAATTTAGGATGACTCAAAAGGCCACAAACTTAAACCACACTCTATAATCCCTTCCCTCACCCGAAATTGTGTAATTCATCACTGCCAAGAGCCCTTCTGATGATACTTCCTTCTACCCTTTAAAAAATTCTTGAATGTCTTTGAGCAGATGGACATCTTGGTTATTCTAAATGTTCTCTCAAAAAAAATCTTAAGAATTCTTTCTATGATGTTCTAAGCTTCTTAATCTCTTTTTACCCCTCTGACATGTGTCTCAGTAATATCTGTAGTACTTCATAGTATTAAAATAAGCAAAACTTAACACTCTTCATAAAGACTGAATGATTCACGGCTCAACTTTTAGTATTTTATAGTAGAAACCAGTCTAATTGGATATTGACATATGGTATCTTACCCAATAAGAAGAGAAAGCTCCATTAGTCTTTGATAAAATGGCATTCTTTCAAAAATCACATGTTGGATTTAAAATATAATCATTTTAAGAGTGGCGTGTTAAAGAAAATTAATACAACATGCTGTCATTGAATTCAAAACAAGGATGCAACTGCTACTCTGTGGAGCCCAGTGTGCCTGCCTATCTGTTGCAGCACAGCGTCCTCTCTTCCCTCTTGTAAATCCTCCCTGCTCACAGGGGGAATCCTGCTTGCATTTCCCAGAATCTCCTTTCCCGTGGGAGTCTGGATCCGGGTCTGCTAACGTGAGATCCTTGCACAAGATCCAGAAGTTCTAAGAAGAGGGGAAACACTCTTTCCTGATGGCATACAGTAGACATGAGGTTTAGGGAAGCTTCGGGATGAGCTCTGTGCTGAGGGAACCACAGCTTGCCGTGACATGGTCAGCCACAGCAGCAGACTCCCTGACTAGCACTTCCCGGCCCTTCCAGGGTGCCTGTCAGCTTCTAGTTCCTTCCTCTGTGGAGCACCTTAAGTGTCTTCTGTTTATCAGCTGAACCCTAACTGATACATTTTGGTAAGGCTTTGGTTTTGCAATTTCCAGTATCTCCCCCAAAGATGTTCTCCATGCCCTGGCAGACACCACTGCCATTTTCCAGATCACTTGGAAGCTGCATCTGTATCACAAAATAACCACATCTGTATCGTTCCCTTCTGTTGCCACACACCATTTTAATTTTGCTTTAAAGAACTTCAATGTTTATTTCCCATTTGAACCCTAACTGAACCATATAAAGTAGCTGTGGCAGGTATGGCTGACTTCGTTTAACAAATGGGAATCATAGAGAAGGTTAAAATTAGGAGCAAAATCCAGAAGCTCCTGCTATCCCTGCCCCCCACCACCCTATCCAACTTCTTGTCTAGTAATCACCGCATGAACTCACTATGACTCGTTTAGTTAACACCATTCTATAAAACACCAAGTGCACATTAACAGCATTAGAGAGTAAGAAAATAAGTGTATAGTTCATTAAGCAAAGGAAAATACTATTATATTAGCATTAATCTGTAAAACTACATACATATTTCCATTGAGCTTGAAAGGTGCAGGCAGAATGTAATGTTCTATTAAGTTATGCAGTGACACATAGAGAATTCAAAAAGTACAAAAATTATGCTTCTCATAGCAATGTTAACATGCCCCCTTGCACGGATCATAGCATACACGTTAATTTAAAGTCAGGACTATATTTCACGAGAAAATGTATGTGTCATTGGCTGTTGCAAATCAAGTTGTCACAGGCATTTAGTATAGGGGGCACCCTTTCCTTGCTACTATCTCCCAGAAAATGTGAAACTACATTCGACACGAGGGTTTTTCTGAAATTGACACAATCAGTTTTGTGAAGATTCAAAGTGTGGCAATTAATTTTAAAATTTATTTTCACCCTCATGAGTTAGTTTTGACATCTGGAGGGTGTTTTCAAGGTAATGCTGATCTGTGTTTATACAACTGAAGTGGCCTGGTGGAATTTCCCATATTATTCATCAATGGCAATGAGATCATAGTGATCAGGTATCATTTATCATAAATAATTATTAATAGGGTTGTAATCATTCAGACCCTGGATTTCATCCCAGATTAATATCGTACATTAATTAACTAGAAACATTTGCTTTCTTGCACCTGCATTCACTGTATTTTCCTTTGTGCTTTTATCTTGCCCCAGTGCCGCTAAAAACTGCAAATGCTGATCTTGCCAGCACCTAGTGGGGTGAAGGATTTATCCTCCATCCTCTGGCAGGATGTTGGAACAGGAAAATGCTCTGGGCAAAGAGAATCATGAGGATAACAAGACAGGAAAACCTACTTGCTCAGCAAATGTAGGTATCGTTACTGGGAGAAATGGGATACAAAAGCTTACAATCTCACTACTTATATTTTGGTTGACTTGAACCTATATCATAAAGGATGTAGACACATTGCATTATTTTCACAGATTTGAATTGAAAGGTTTTTTTTATAAATAAGAAGTGTGTTATCATGCTTATACCAAAAGAAACACTGTTATAACATTCACCATCTTCAGGTTATGCGGTTTTGAATATTGGTTTTATTTTGAAAGCCAGGATAAAGCTATCACTCATTGAGTACTCTACTGTAAGCCCTAAAAAGTAATCATAACATTTCAAAAGTACATCACCCTTTTGTAAATAGCAGCACAGCATGGTGGTTAAGAGCAGGGATCAACAAACTACAACCCAGGGGTCAACACTGACCCTCTGCCTGTTTTTATAAATGAAGTTTTACTGGAGTGTAGCCATGCCCATTGTGTATGCATTATTTTTGGCTGCTTTCCCACTACAACAGCAGAGTTGAGTAGTTATGGTAAAGATTGTAAAACTGCAAAACCAGAAATATTGACTCTGGTCCTTTATAGACAACATATGTAAAATCCTAGTTAAGAACTTGACCCCTGATTGCAGGCTTCCTGACTGTGCTACCAGTGAGCTTTGTGACCTTGTGACTTTGGGCATGTGCCTCAGTCACCTCATCTGTAAAATGGGACAAAATTAGCACTTACCTTTGTAGGGCTGTAATGATGAATAAATAAGTTCACATCTGTAAAATGCTTAGACCAGTGCCTGGCACACAGTCCTACCATATTAGGGCTTCTCAAATAAAAATAAAATAGTTCTTTTTTTGATCAGTAGCAAGCAGGCATTTGTGAGACAGATGGCCAAAGTAAGGAGTGCAATTCGTGGTTGTGCAATTAGGCGAGGTTAACTTTGCGAGGTTAACTTATTTTAATGTAGACTGCACTCCGATCTTTGGCCTTAGTCTTAGTGAGCTCTGTGGACTAAAGTCACTGAGCTGGATCTAACAGACCGTTTAAAATGATTCCCAGCCCCTGGCCACTGCTTCACCCTTGCCTGCTCAGCCCTTAACTATTTGTACTAACTGGCCTGGTCTAGACTCACAAAACATAAAAGGCAACAGAAATTAGTTTTTTAAGACAACGAAGAGTAATGTTTTAGAGTAGAAATTGGCAAACTTTCTCTAAAGGGTCAGGAAATAAATATTTTCGGCTTTGTGGACCTTATGATTCTGCCTTAACTACTCAACTCTGTCATTATGATTCAAAGGCAGACATAGACAATATGTAAAAGAATGGACACGGCTGTATCCCCATAAAACTTTATTTACAAAAACAGGCAGTGGGCCAGGTTTGGCCCACGGGCTGTAGTCTCCCAACCTGTGCTTTAAAGTGTAAAAGAGCAGTGTTAGAATACTATAGCCCTTCCAGGGGCCAGAATTGTATAATCTTGCCTCCAATTCTAGCCATAAATAAAAAATGGATGTACTTAAGTTTTTTTTCTGACTGGCTAAATGGTAGATTATATGATTGCTTGGCAAATATTCACTCCCTCCTCCCACCTCTGTGGGGGGAATATACTTCCCTATACCATTGGCTTTAGGCTAGGCCATATTGCTTTGGCAAGTGGGAATTTAGTAGACATGATACAAGGAGAGGCTTGAAATGTGCTTGCATAGTTGAGCTTGCCCTCCTAGGTTCCTTGAGAAGAACATGGCCTGAAGGGCCTGCATGTCCAAGGAGGGTGCAGAGATACAAGACAGACCTAGACCCAAACTATAGCTTACAGCAAAGCCAAGTTGAAACTAGTCTTGATCGGCTAACCCACAGACATGGTACTAGTGAGCAATAATAAATCATTGTTGTTTGAAGCCACTGAATTTTGGGATGTCTGTTATGCTGCATTATTTTAGCAATAGCTGACTGATACAGCTTTTCTACATTTTATTCTTCCAGATGGATCCTGGTATGGGTTAATGCTCTAACAAAGCACAGAAACAAGTGTGCCTCTCTATAACTGGAGGAGAATAAGTATAAGTTGCCTACCATGTGCTTCCACTTATGACCACTTCCCAGTAGTGGCGGCCACTGTCAATGAACACGTTTCCAGCCACTCCGTAGCTCCCTTGGCTGGTGAAGCGTTCAGGCGTGTGACTCTTTTTGGATGATGACTCATCACGTTCTACCGTCAAGTTATCATGGGACACCTTCAGTTTTCGATGAGCAGATTTGGGATCCAGTTTAAATGGTTGGCCTGGAAATAAGTTCACAAAACAAAAAGTGAAAGAGGAAAAGGACTGTTTATTTTAACATGACCAATGGCATATTTTCATAATCAGATTTAAAAAGCTGGAATAAGTCAGCCTTCCCTGAATCATGCCTCCTATTACAAGACAGTGTCTTATATTTTAACTTCATAATAGTAATACAATGTCTTATATTTTAAGTTCTTATATTTAATAGTGTCTTATATTTTAAGTTCATAATAGTAATTTAAACTTCATAAACAACTTTCAAAGACATTTGCTTGCACAGTTTTCACGATTTCAAAAGGTAATTAGGGGACAGTTAAGTCTGTATAGTGCCAGGCACAGGAAGAGTGAATAACATGTCCCTGCCTTCAAGAGCTTCCAGTCTACCAGTTCTAAGATAAGGATCCACAGTACTATGCTAGTGAGTATTCAGCAACAGCATGGGCAAGGATCAACCAGAATATATGACGTAAGCTCTCTTCATGGACTCCAGCTGTATGCAAGCAGCACAGATAAATACTGGCTGGATAGCATCTCAAAAAGGAGGAGAGAATGAAGACCTCATTTTAAACCATTGCCATGTTCAATCCAGCTTAAAATGCATTCATGCTCAATAGACTTCAGACCTGAAACCAAACAAATCAAGATTTCAGGTCTTCACATATAGAATATTTTGGAGGCTTACATTATTCTGAGATTGTTGAAAATTAAAGAATTACTCTTATGAGCTTAGAATTACTATAAACTTGTAGATTTTTCAGCTCATAAAATCAGGAAAAAATGTGATAGTAATGCCTGGGTTTTCTATTCCTGAGTTTATTTATACATAATAAATATATATTTATTTATAATAAGGCCCTCTCTATTTCATTATTCACATTTGTATTTTGAAGACTTAACTATTAAAAAATCTTGGCAGAGTCACATTTTGTCATAGTTGTTACTTCTTTGACAATTCAATGTTGGACTGGAGTACTGCTCATCACTTAACACCACGTGGGGTACAAGGCATTTAAAGGCAGAAAAACGAGTTACGACAAGATGCAAATACGATGGTGTCCAAACTCCACAGCCACTGTTGCAGTTGGCAGGCCCCTTCTGCCCAGCAGACAGCTCTCAGACAATCACAGGAAAAAGTTTGGTAAATTTGACTGTGGCAATTCGTGATGCTGACCAAGAAACTGACCCAGCGAGCATGGGGCAGTGTGTGTTTTGTCACGTGTGGGTAGGCCAAAGGATTTCTAGTCGCTGCTTGGATACAAACATAACACCTGCACCTTCGAAATTCTTTCTTTTAGACCAAGGATCAGCCACTTTTTCTGCAAAGGGCCAGATAGCAAGTATTTTCAGCTATGCAGGCCCCGTGGTCTCTTTTGTGACTATTCAACTCTGTCATTGTAGTGGGAAAGCAGCCATTGACAATAGGTAAATGAATGGGCATGGCTGTATGCCAATAAAACTTTACTTACAAAGACAGGTAGCCAGATTTGGCCCTGAGCTATAGTTTGCTGACTTTTGTTTTAGATTTCCATCCATACCAAAGAAAAATCTTAAAGAGAGGAGCAGAGAAAACCCTCAAGTACTAAGCAGGGAGTGGATATTCTCAGAGGCCATAAGACCCATTGGATTACATGTGTAGTTTACATTTTAGCTTGTCTTGTTAAAAAAAAAAAAAAAAGTCCCCGAGAATGATCATGCCGGCAACTATTAGGGATAAGGTATGAACTAATATAAGAAGAATATAATGATAGCTTTGCTTAAAACATTTCAATTTTTTTAGAATGTTCAAATTTACTTATTTACTTTTTAAAACTGACAGATAAAATTGATGCTGATGGACAGAGCAGGAAGACATTCCATAATGGCACCCTCATTTAAAATGAAGGCCCAGTTCTGCTGGCCTCCTTCCGGTGAGGCAGATCAGAACGTTGTAGCCATGAGGACTGGCCTTGTACAGAGGAGATACTTCCCGAAACATCCCGCCTGCCCCGGCTCACATGCTCACCCATGCACACACAGAGCAGGTCTGCCAGCTTCATTCAGGCCTAACCCCCTGAAAATTCTGCCTGTGCCTCGGATGCGTTACCCAAATAAATCACTGCCCGCTCTGCCCAAATTCAAAGCTTTTGCATCAATGAGGACAAAATAGTTCAAAGAAGAAATGAATTAAGTAAAACTAAAAAATTCAATTCATTATAATATTTGTATAGGCTACGAACCTATTTGGGCCGCTGTTCACTTGCTTGGACAACTCTTGCAATGATCTTTTGATACTTGGCCCAGCTGCCAGTCTCCCTTCCTTGTAATCTACTCACTACATCATAGCCTCTCCTATTTAAACTCTCCAACCTCTCCCCCACCAACCATCACTCTCTAAGGAAACATCCTGGCATAGCACATGAGGGTTTCACAGTCTGGTTCTTGTCTCCAGCTTCCTGGCTCACCCATCCTCCCAACCGAAGCCACACTTTAAAAACACTTATCAGTTTTCTGTCGCACAAACATATTCTCCTTGTCTCTGGGCCTTTGTACGTGTTGTTCCCTCTGCACCGAACACTGCCTCCTCCTCACGTCCCCTGCTCTGAACCTACCTTGGAAAGCCCCCCGAGGCTGTGCTGGGGCACCCCCTTTGAAACCCAGCACCCCTCATGGTTATTCTTATTGCAAACTTCACACACTGATTGGTAACTAAGGATTAATGTGTTTTATTCACCAAAAGCCTGTGAAATCTTTGAAAGAAGCCCATCTTAGGAAGTTGAAGGTGGTCATAGTATCCTCAGCACCTTACACTGTCTCAAACACACTAGATGCTCTAACATATTTTTTGAAGGAACAAATACATGTTTGAATGCAAATCAAAAACTTGTGCCATGTGCTGTCTGGTTATAAAGAAACATGCCATCATGTTATATTTTCTTATACACTTAGGATTGTTTTGAGCTTGTGTTTGTGACAGCTCATAAATGAAACTAAAATGTTCCCATTTTAAAAATGAAGAGACACTATGGGCCGGCCCGTGGCTCACTCGGTAGAGTGCGGTGCTGATAACACCAAGGCCACGGGTTCGGATCCCATATAGGGATGGCTGGTTTGCTCACTGGCTGAGCGTGGTGCTGACAACACCAAGCCAAGGGTTGAGATCCCCTTACCGGTCATCTTTAAAAAAATAAAAATGAAGAGACACTATGGGCCGGCCCGTGGCTCACTCGGTAGAGTGCGGTGCTGATAACACCAAGGCCACGGGTTCGGATCCCATATAGGGATGGCTGGTTTGCTCACTGGCTGAGCGTGGTGCTGACAACACCAAGCCAAGGGTTGAGATCCCCTTACCGGTCATCTTTAAAAAAATAAAAATGAAGAGACACTAAATGTGATGTGGGATCCTGGATTGGATCCTAGAGCAGGAAAAAAAATGAGTGAAAAAACTGGTAAAATTGGAATAAAGTCTGGAGTTTAGTTAATAATAATGTACCAATGTTAATATCCTAGTTGTGACCAATGTACTAGAGTTATGTAAGATGTTAACATCAGGGGAAAGTGGGTTAAGGGTATACAGAACTCCGTATTATCTACAGATTTCCCGTAAATCTACGATTATTCCAAAATAAAAAATTTATTTAAAAAAGTATTAAAAAACTAGCCACACAGCCACGTGAGTACCAAGCGGCAGAGCCTCGGTCTTCTCATTCTTAATCCAGTGCTTTCCTTACCCCCCTTTGCTGTTCCTCTAAGACCCAACAGATGCTCTACAATGTATTGGGAAATCAGGGATATGAGTTAGATGAAGGTCCCTTTTGAAAAGCGTTAATTGTTCTTGTCGACTGGCTGGCAATTCCCCAACATGGCGCCATATTGCCACACTCCAATTTGCTTTATCTTGGGAGGTCTTATGCAAAGAAACACCATATTACATAACATACTATTTCTTGATCAAAAAGATGTAAAGAAAGAAGAGAGGATAAAACAAAACACATACAGGCAGAGACAGAGAGAGGGAGATGACAGTATCACAAGACACGTAGATGATAGGAGGATGACAGGCTGGGTCATTCTTTGTGGTGGGGCCTGTCCTGTGTATTGAGGGATGTTTCCCATCACCCCTGGCCTCTACCCACTAGATGTCAGTAGCATCCACCCCAGTTCTGACAACCAAAAGTATCTCCAGACACTTCTAAATGTCCCCATGTGGTGGTGGTGGCGGGTGGGGGAAAGGGGGCAAAATCACCCCTGATTAAGAACCACAGACCCAGACAGGTATCTAGAGTAAAATAAAGAATTTCTGAAGAGTTATTAATTTGCTATTCTACTATGGAAAACAGTACTACCTACCATTTACAGAGCCCCTAACTATGTGTCAGGTTTTATATATACATATTCTATTTCTCACAAGAATCCCTCCAGGATTATTTATTTAAAAGCTGAGAAGACTGAAGTGCAGAGAGATTAATGGCCTCACTGCTGTGGACACTTAAGACTCAGTTTTGGAACCTAGAGGTATCTGATGCAAATTCCACTGTTCCACACTAGCTATTTGCTTACTTTTTGAGACCATCAGTGATGCCTAAGACAGAGAAAAGGAAAAGAAAGGGGGCCAGAGTTGGCTGAAAGGAGAGCAGATGGCAGCTCTGCTGAGCTCACAGCACTTACTGTTTGTCTTCAACTTCCCAGGCTCGCTGCTGCGGCTGCCTGCCTGGTTGATGGCCTTGACCATGAAGATGTACTTGGTGCCACTCTGAAGACCATGCACTGTGTAGTGGTTCTGCTTGATGTTGGGAACGATCATCCAGCTGTCAGCCGAGTTACACAAACCTGCAAAGCCAACCAGACATGGCGCAGTTCTTTGGCACAAGCACGAGGCAATGTTTGCATAATTTCAGGTTATTTGACCTGTTAGACTGTAGTGCTTTGTCATGACAGTCATCTATGAGAAGCTGAGTTCACTAAGACAGACATAACAGATTGTATTTTTGCCTCTAATTCTTCACCCTGCCCTGTATCCAGGCCTAAGTGACTCCAAGTGCTCTCTCTAAACAGGTGAGATATATTTCCTTGTCACACAGTTTTGGATTTGGCCATGTGACTTGCTTTGGCCAATAGGATGAGGCCCAAATGACAACATGTTGGTTGCAAGAGTAGGCACTACAGGGCCTTGAGGGTTTCTGTTGACCGCTTGTGTTTCTGGCATTGCCATGGGGACAACACTCCTGGGATAGTATGCTCATTTCAACAGGATGAGAAACAGGGAACAGCCCTACCACCCAGCTACTGCCCAGCCAATGCCCAGCTAGTGCAGGAGCGAGCCCAGCAGAGATCAACCAACCCCAACTGACCTCCAGCAGGAGAGCCAGGAAAAGGACCATCAGGGTTGTTTGTGATCCTGTGTTAGGGTGGCCGTAGCTAACGGATTCAGGAAATGGATTCCTAAGAGAACCCTGGAGCAGCAGCACCTATGGGCAGCTCAGAGCCCAGTGCGGATCTTGGGAAAGCACCAACAGGGGTTTCTGACCTGCTGTACCCCTAGGATGGCTGGTTCCAGAGTGGAGCTGGGCTGCTGCTCTGGCTGCATTCTGCAGGATGTGGGATGGGGAGCAGACCGAAAATTTATGATGCTTGGAAGAACATGTAGGAAAAAGGAAGCCCATTTTGTTTCACAGCTGGCTGATGCTGAAAACATCTCTTTGGTATCAGGCCCAACTCTCCTCTCTCCCCTCTCCACCCATCAATCTCCACTCCAACAGAACTTTTTCCCAGCCCCCTGGTGACTGGGCTGTCATGAAGTTTCCTGACTCTGTTGAATTTCTTTCACCAGTCCCTGAGAGAGGGCTAGGCCCCTCCACTTCCTGAGAGGCTCCAAACTCATCTCCCCTCTTTCCCTTTCAGTTGATTTGCAAGTCAAAAGGTTACTTCCTTTGATCTTGAGGCAATTTATACCTTACCACACTCAAGAAGCAATCCTTTAATCCTTTTATGGTCTCACCTCTTTGAGAACCTAATAAAACCTTTCTGTAGAAAGAAATTCATGAATGCATACACACATGAACCACAAATATTTGCATAGCATTTCAAGATAGTCACAGGCCCCCTGAAGTTTTCTTTTTGAATCTTACTGAACACTTTCTCCCACTTTTGAGATAAACATTATTCATGGTACTCTCACAGTTGAGAAGAACTTAAAAGTATTTTGTCGGCTGTGAAAATTCACCTCAGGTATCTTGGGTGTATAGTATTTTTAGGTACACATCAATAAGTCTTAAAATAAAATTTGGCCTTAGGAATTTTCTGTCACCTGTTTTCACTTCTACCTGTGAACATTTTCACCAGAGGACTGTCAGATCTGAAAAAGCCAGCATAAAGCAAGGAAATAATTTGAGACTGACAGAAGAGTTGAGAGAGAGAGAGAGAGAGACAGAGAGAGACAGAGAGAGAGAGAGAGAGAGACAGAGAGAGGAGAGGAGAGAGAGGAAATGTGTGTGTTTCTGTTCGGAGATTTAGCAGAGCTACTAGAGGTACCATGTACCCCTGCTCTCCCAATTTTCCCTAACTCTTAACCCTCTGTTCTCCTACCAATTCTTTTTTTTTTTCCTTTTTGTCTTTTTTCGTGTCCGGCAATGGATTGCAACCCTCAGTGTTGCGCCCGCACCTCGCTCAGCCAGTGAGCGGGAACCGGTCTGTATGTGGGATCCGAACCCTCGGCGGGAGCGCCGCCACGCTCCCAAGCGGCGCACTGTAGCAGTGCACCACCGGGCCGGCCCCTCCTACCAATTCTTACTTGTACAAGACTCGGGAAACATCCATGAATAGTTTAGTAACATGGGAATCTCCCTACTCTACATCGCTTTTGATGTTTTCACCCCTTACCTTTTCCTTGAGCATAGCTGTGATAAACTCCATACTTCTGGATAGTGCCACAGCCAAATTTTAGATTTTGATTCAATCAAAACGGGTCATTTTGAACTCTGAGCTCTGGGCCCCAAGAGGCCTGTAACTCACTATAGGTACTTAATAATATTATTATAATAGTAATAAAATTAAAAAACCCCAGCTTTTCTATTGCCTAGGATGATGCACTCATATTCCCAGATCTTTGTCAACAGCAGTCAGGCACAAATGAAAACAATAACAACATTCAGTAGATTCAAATGGGAATCCTATCAATTTCACTGCTTTTACGCTGTTCCTGTTTAATTGCATATGTTGCAATAAAATGACTATTGTGGTCAAAGAAAGCAAATGTGAAAATGTTTCAATAAACTTTATATCACTGTACAACCCCAAAGCTGGGTTTAATGTGGTGGGGGAATGCTTTCAGCAACATCATAAAGCAGATGTCTGAAATTGTGGCAAACTGCAACTTGACCTACAATTCAAAGTCTTAACCCGACAAAGATTTAATGTTTCAGAAACCTTTTCCAAACAAAAAAGGGACTCTGACTACCCTTTGAAGAGGTCATTAATTTTTTCCTTGAATGTTAAAAGAACAAAATGTTTACGGGGTAGTAAAATATTATTGGATAACTTACACTGGGATAATCTACTTTCATGAATAGTAACAACTATTACTGTTTGGGCTTACCTTTATATTATTATTATTGCCATGATAACAATTGAGAAGTTGATTAAAAACACCAAGAAAGCAACATTGACAATCTTCTTTCGGGGGCTGGAGTAAGTGGGGTGACTTGGAGTGTACCATTACTGTGTTGCTAGGGTTAGTCTTATGCCAGCACCCTCAGACTTCTTGCATATGGCGCTGAGTGCAGATTTTGCTTAAGTGAGATTTCTCTGCCTTGATACCCCACTGTGTTAGGACTTTTGTCCAGGTTTTAGTCATCTCCTTATGAAACACCCACACAACCATCCTCACTGAATGAAACTTCACTTCTCTCCAAACTTGTTTCCAATCATCCAAATTCACCTACTCCAACTCAGCTTGAAGTGTTAAGACAATGGAACTTGGAAGATAATCAGCCCATAATGGAATCTAATTGAGTATTTCTTTTTTTTTTTTTCTTTCCCTTTTTGTCTTTTTTCGTGTCTGGCAACGGATCGCAACCCTCAGTGCCGCGCCCGTACCGGACCGGGACCGGCAACGGGATTGCAACCCTTGGTGTTGCTCCCGCACCTCGCTCAGCCAGTGAGCGGGACCCGGTCTGTACGTGGGATCCGAACCCTCGGCGGGAGCGCCACCACACTCCCAAGTGGCGCACTGTAGCAGTGCGCCACCGGGCCGGCCCTAATTGAGTATTTCAATTTTGTACATTTTTTCACTCACGATGGGTCAGAAGCATTTCCCTACATAAAGCGGCTTATTATCAGATCGTAATTACATTTGACATTTCAGAGCCTTGTATGGCAACTGTCCTCTTGCCGCCAAAACATTGGGTGTAAAACGTCAATGCAATGTGGATACCAGCTTCTAATATCCTTTGTCTCCTCTGACAAATTGGACAGAAGTGAACACTTTTGTCCTTCATCTCTGTAAAAATAGTAATGCTTAATAACTTTCATGAGTGTTTTTGAAATGGCTAAAGTAAATTAAATACAGGTAACTACTTTGCCATTAAGGCTTAAAGAAATGTGGCTTTTGAGCTTTGCTAATAGTAGAAAAAGGCTGCTGGGAAAAGGGCCCAATTTAAGATTTTAAATGAGGTATTAAAAGTAGTCTTGAAAAAACATGGAGAACGTTATAAAATTAAATATATATCTAGTTATTAATAAGAAATTCATTAACATCTGTACTCATAATTCTATTAATAAAAATGAACAATAAAAAATTAATGCCATTAATTTTGCATTAGACTGTATGCATTTCATTAGTGAGAGCCTTTTTACAAGATTAATAAAGCTCCATAGATATCTAATTCTCCTTCACTAAAGCCAGTTTAAGGCAATTAACTACAATGTATTATGACAAGTGAAGGAGCCATGACCTAGAGACAGTAAAAGATTTCCTAGTGGCATAAGGAGTGACAGCCAGGTTTTGAGCATTCTATCTTCTTATTTTCAGTAGAATTTTACTGTTATTTATTTATTTATTTTTTTCCCTTTTTTCGTGACCGGCAACGGATCGCAACCCTCAGTGTTGCGCCCGTACCGGACCGGGACCGGCAACGGGATCGCACCTTGCTCAGCCGGTCTGTATGTGGGATCCGAACCCTCAGCTGGAGCGTCGCCACGCTCCCAAGCGGCGCACTGTAGCAGTGCGCCACCAGGCCGGCCAGAATTTTACTGTTAGATCTTGTCACTCAATAAAACATCTGCAAAGGATACTCCTCCAAATGATAGAATGGATGGAAAAACAACATTCATAGAAGGTCTTTCTCATGAAGATTGTGTGAAAAGCTATCACATGGACAGTCCTGGCAAATTGACCTTTATCATATGACATAAAACATCAGCCTTTCTTTGAAAATGCAATGATGGATGAGTATAGTCTATATTTTTGCAGGAATAGTAACTCTGAACCCTTATGTGCTACCACTTTGACAAACACAGGGCTGAAGCTTTTACTTTAATGATCTAAACCATGTGAAGTTAAAACATTGTCCCTCTTTACTGAGGAGGAAACAGATTCAGAGGACATTAAACAATTTGCCCAAGATTATGGAGCTAGTGAGATCCAAAATTGGGACTCAAACCCAGGTCTCTTTTAGTCACTACATATGTGTACAATATTTAAGAAGAAAATCATTTGAAAATGTTTGCATCTCAGTTAGATGTTTATCTAACTTTATTCTTTCATTGTTGCAAATTGATCATGCAGGCATCAGGACTTCACTATTCTGGTTCAATGGGCATAAAGAGATGAA